GATAGACTCTGGTTTAACTCCTTAACATTTTGAATTATATTAATCAAACACCTGTGCATCATAAAATTTCCAAAATTGAGCAGTTGTTGCTTACTCAAGTTTTGCTTTTATTGGGCTTGGTGGCAGGACTTCCTAAACATGCTCTTCAAGGATATCTATAAACCCATCTCTCCAATTTACAACCTTGCATTGGCCACGTTGTGGCGTCACCCGGCAAACATTGAACTTGACCAAGTGAAAGTTGTCCACTATTGTGTTAAGGTATATACAGATATACAAGCCTAGAATCTTATTGAATTGAGCTTTTTTCAACTTTTAACATGGATTGCATTACTATTTTTGTAATGATGTTTCAGTCTGTGGAGATCAGGGGTCAAAGCCATGGAGATACACGGGGAAGAAGAGAACATGGACAGGGAAGATGTCAGAATGCTGGTGAACAGGTGGTGGGAAATTTACAACGATGGCTTCCTCGACAGTTCTTCAGCTGCCGACGGCCGTCCCGACGAATTCACCGGGGTGCATCATCTTGTTACCTCGGCAGTGTAGCCTGTTCTAACAGTTTCGCCGGATTGCTGTTCTCTTTTTTGGGGGCTGGGGGGTTGCAGTTAGCTTATATAAATATTTATAAGTAGTTTTGTGTAAGTGTTTATTAATAAAATTATAGAATTCGGCATTTAATATATTTAATTTTAATATTTTAATTTAATAATTATTTAAAAATTTTAAAAATAATTTCTGGCAAACTTGATTTATTGAAAGTTGAATAGAAGCCCAATTTAACAGTTTGGCTTAATTGGATTAAAATTAGGCTCCAACTGGAACTGAAACTCAAGGCAAGCCCAATTTAGAGAAGTTGAGCCCAGAGTTCAATTTGCATTAGGATTGGCTCAACTGCAGCCTCCCTTGCGTTTGAAAGCCTTTTTTTTTTTTTTTTTTTTGGTTGAAGGAAATGCATATTACTTAATAATTTAAATCCAACAAAATTTATATTATCATATTATGTTGCTAATGAATTAAAATTAAAAAAAAGGGTTGAAGTTCAATTTTCCAAATTTAGTTCCAATTTTACATAATCCTCCTTTCTGTAGAAATCTTCTTTCATTTTCTAATTTTAATTCAATTCTTTCATATTGCATCGGATAAAGCCCCAAAACGGTCTTTTCATTCTACTCTTTGCATCTACGTAATTTTTAACCATTTTCAATTTCTAATTAACAAAAGTGATCTTACTTAATTTTTAACCATTTTTAATTTCTAATTAAAAGAGTGATTTTACTTATTTAAAATTTCTATTTATAGGGTTTTTAGTTCAAAATAATTGAAAATAAAAATATTCAAATTCCTGTGTGTTGTAATCAGTGGCGTAATCATAAATAATTTAAATTTTTACTAAATAAATATATTTCTAATATTTTAATTAAAAACAATTCATCCATATCCAATTTACTCTCCTCTAATAAACAATTTAGACATTTGAATTAAGTAATTATTATAATTATTGTATTAAATATTTATTTATCAAATTTTGTATTTTTTAAATCAAAATTTACAAATATATTAAATTTACATATTTCACCATTTTTTTCATTATTTTTAAAATTAATTTTTTTTTTTTTAAAAAACACTAACTTTCGCAAATACAATCCCACCCACCTAGCAGGTGGCAGCCTGCTAACAGATACGCCAGTAAGTAAGCTACGTGTGTCGGTTCATGCCAAAGCCAACTGGCACATGGCAATCCACGTGGCACCAGCAGATTGCCGTTTGTCTATTCTCATGGTACACAGCTCTTGTGCTCGTCACTAGCCAGCGGCGGTGAAGAACAAACTTGGTTCCTCCCCCAAAATTTAAATTAGTCTAATTTGTTAATAAAATTCAGATAAATAATTTTTATACGATTTATTTCCCCAAGCATTCAAAGTGCAGAATTATTAGACATTTTCTAAAATTTCCGGCAAGTTCTTGCTAGCAAATATTTATTGGAATATTATGGTTCTTAATATTTTTATATTCCCGTCTCCTTTTATTATTAGAAAATGGCATTTTCTCGATAACATTGCTGAGATGGGAACGTGATATAAGTCTTTCTTTAATAAAATAATTAAATCTTGGTTCCAGTAATAAATAATTACATTGATCTTCCACTCTAACTTACTGTTAGTTTTTCCAAGTTGATAATTAGGGCGCCAATGTTCAAGTGCATCTTATATACTATTTAATTCTTGTATAATTTTTTTCTCTAATATGTATATATATGAATATGTTATAAAAATTCAAATACCAAAATAGAAAAACTAATTTTTAGCTGCACCTAATTACAATGATAATTTGCTTAATTTTTAGGAGATCCACAATTTAGCTGCTGCTCATTCCAATAAATTTACCGTGTGTATTAATGTGCAAGATTTTAATCAGAATCTTATTTTCAAACTGAAATTTTAGAATTATAATCTGATTAAAATATTTGATAAGTCAAAATTGATTATAAATATTTGTAATTTAAAATAAATAGATTAGATATAAAATTAAGTAATCGATTTGTTAAAGATTGAATAATATTTTTTATTAAATTTTTACACTTAAGTGTAAGAAACATTATTTTTTCTTATTAGATTGAATTTTTTTTTGTTAGATTTCAATTACTCATTAGATTTCGATATAAATTAACAGATACAAATTTTATACCATACTGAATTGAATTTAGATATATGAATAAGTAATCGAAGTTGGATTGATTTAATTTAATTAAATTCTAACCTATTAATGGCCTACTTATATGTTTTAGGGATAACCAGAGGAGGGTGAAGTAACTGACACTTTATTATATTACCTCAACAAACTAACAATGTTCCTGCAGTGCCTCCGAATTTTGGTTTCTTTTTTGTAGGTATGAAGTCAAAGTACGTGAACTTCCTTGATGTGTTGTCAAACTAAGGAAAGAAGATACACTTTCTTCAGTTTTTTTTCTCCTTTTCTGGAGTTTCCTTCAATTTTATTTTCTTGGGTCTACAAGTGAAGTGCAACAAGGGGAAAGCTTTATGATGCCTTAGTTCTCTTACTATATATAGATGTACAGATACTAGTTAAAATAAATGGATGTTAACTGGTTTTGTTGCTCCTTTTTGTCAATTGGGAAGTTTTCTGTCGTCTTTTCAAGTCTACAGATCATAAGAACAAGTTACATCCTAAACATATCTAATTTATACATGTATATATCTGTGTGATGTAAATGTCAACTGTCCCCTGAATGAGTCCTCTTCGCACTCATAATATCCTGGAAATCTTTCGAACCAAAGAGAACCCCATTTTCATCCAACTAATTGATCTGATTCTACCGCCTGCCTTGTCTCTCATATGCAAAATTCACAATTTTCAGTTCTCTCAAATGACCTAATTGCTTTGACCTGATATGCTATCCACTCTCCCCCAAGTGCGGAGGGGAGATGGCCACAAAGAGATGGCTACTCTAGTTGGGAAAATTTTTTAAGCATCTTGTTTCAGGAAATTCCATTGGCAGCTCTATTGCAGTGCATGGTTGGACTAATTACCTAGGCAATGGGAAATGTCAGTCAAAAAAAGATAGGATGAATAACATTCAATATTATTTCCACTTGATGTAATGTTAAAGAGTTTGTTTGGACGAACATGAATGGCGTAACATTTGAAACGCCAAGCAAGCAAGCATCCATATGGACTCCAGACAAACAAATATGAAAATACTAAATAAAACCAGAAGGTGAATTCTTACCTTAAGATTTACAAACGCAGACTACATGGAGGATCAGCAAAATATCCTGGAAAATGGCAACATGATCGTTCCGAAGTGGCTGGTCCAGATTGATATCGAGGAGTTCGAACCAGGAGTGGTTCAAAACATACTCTGTTACCGCTGATAATATGATTCAAAAGAGCATCCACTCCTGTTGCTGTGTTCCTGGTTCACAAATAACTATGAATTTGGTCCCTGCAGGAAAACAAACCACAATTACAATATAATAAAGCAACTGATTCACGTTCTAAGAGTAACTGCAATGTCCTGTAAACTCGAATGTACTATCTGTTTTCTAAATTACAATCTAAAAAGATGTATCTAATAAAGTTGTACAATGATAAGTTATTTGATTCATCCGCAGTTAGCAGGATGAAATTGAAAATTTGAAACTTCGTGCGAGATAATAAGGGCAAATTAGTGCATCCCTGCATATCGACATTTGATATTGTCAATTTTGTCCATGGGAGGGCTGCTAAAGGAATATTACGAGTATTATCCTATCTCTGCATCATCATCAGCGCAGTGATGATATCAATGCCGCACTAGCAGTTTGTCACTCTGGAACTTTTTTAACTAATTCTAAGTAAAACAATTTCTCTCAGAATACTAATTCTTTAGTAAGACTAGATTAACGAAATTACAACCGGATGAACCAGTAAGCAATTGTCAGCAACGGATATCCAAGGTTTCAGCTTCCGGAATCTCGATCCCCGAACATTCTGCAGTCGGCGGCTGCTGCTGAGACATAACCTGCATCGAATCGAATATGATGAACTCCGCAATCTCAAGTTATCTTTCGTATAGTTTGTCATCTTCTTGCTTGGAAACAGGAAACATCCAGAGAAAACATTTTTATCCACAGAAGAAAAATACGTTGTTTTAACGCGTTGTGAGAAGAGAAAAAGTCTTTTTCCCGAGAAAATTTTAAGACTGGGAAAGGTTTCTCGTGTAAGAGATAGATCTGAAATTTAACTTGTAGAAGATGAGACTTGTGATTTGTTGGGACGTAGAGGCTGTAGATTGCCGCCACTTTCTCAAAACCGAACCCAGACTCGATTGCCTTTCAGCTGTTTGTGGAATGACTAAAATGCCCCTTCGTCGCCATTGTGGTAGTTGGGACTTTTTGGGATCCAATTCATATACAAGGCAGCGTGTGCCTCCATTAGTAGCCACGCCGCTATCTCTATCCCTCTCGCTCTCCCTCTCTCTGTCGCTGTGGCCGAGAATGGCGGTTAAGGAGAGTTCGAACCCAACGGTGGAGATCGACAAGCTCAGCTTCACCTACCCCGGAATCGACGGCCACCCACCTCCTGGTTCCACGCCTCTCATCGACGACTTCTCTCTCACTCTGCACTCCGGCGATCGATGCCTCCTCGTCGGATCCAACGGCGCTGGTAGTTTCAAACGCTACACCTATTATTGTTCTTGAGAAGCTAACATGGTAGCAAATTGTTTCATCAATTAATAGGTGATTGTGCTGGTATAATTTTGTCTAGGGAAAACGACAATACTGAAGATACTGGGAGGGAAGCACATGGTGGAACCTAACATGGTTCGCGTGTTAGGGAGATCAGCATTTCATGACACTGCCTTGACTTCTTCTGGTGATCTCTGCTATCTCGGGGGAGAGGTTGGTCTTTATTACTCAAATCTTGTTTATTTATGCGAAATGTTCTGTTATTTCGAGCAATTATGCATTTGCATACTTGAATTTGCATCATGTTTACTCATTTACGTGCATTTTTAGTTAATTTAACTGTAGTATTATGCTTGATCTTCAATTGATTTCTCATTCACATTGGCAGAGACGGAGGTTACTGATTATCTGATTGTTTCGTGGGATTGAATAATTGAAAGTTTTGTTGAAATGTTCTGGCACTTATTTCACTTGCTTTAACTTGTAATTAATTATTGCTTGGGAATTTTAATTCAGAAGCAGGAGCTTTTTGAATCTGAAATTTATTTCCATGGGATTTTCTTTGTGCTAGGATTTGACTCAATGCATAATTTCGGAGAATGAGTTGACGGCATGATATAATGAGTTGTTTCCCCTAGCATATTCCCTAGTGAATTCTGATATAATTGCTACTAGCTTTTGTCTCATTTTATGAGTTCAAAATTTTGCCCAATTAATTGAAAAGGACTAAGACAAGAAGTAGTTGATTTTTCTGTTCAAATGGAATCAAAATCTGGGTCGATTTATTTGGTAAAAGCGTGGAGTTTGGTCTCCATTTCTTTCCTGTGCGTTGCAGGTGAGGAGATTCTTCTTCAACTGGAATGACTCCGCTAAATTCACCAATTCATGTTTAAGTCTAGGACTTCTTTAATTCTTAAGGGACAGGAAAAGGAAATTATGTTGTCTGTTAAATGTTCTCTCTAAATTAACTTAGCTCACTGAAACAAGTTAAGGAATTTTTATTCTTCTTCGTTATCTGTTCCTTATAATTCACTTTTTTTCCTTTTCTTAAATCTAGATTAGGTTTTAAGTATGTTGAAGAAGGAACATTTTATATCAATCAAGGAAATCAAGGATTCGGCTTTTCTAATGATAATAATTTGTATCTAAGTGAACCTTTCTCTTTTGTAGTGGAGGCGAGATGTTGCTTTTGCTGGATTTGAGGTTCCAATACAAATGGACGTTTCTGCTGAGAAAATGCTTTTTGGGGTGTCAGGCATTGATCCTCAAAGAAGAGATGAACTGATTCAGGCAAGAATATATTAATATTTGGGTATACAATAGCTCAACCTCTAAGCCCAAGATGTCCGCTGACATACCCGTGACTTTGTACTTGTTGGATTAGGTGTTAGGTGTTGATCTATCATGGAGAATGCACAAAGCATCTGATGGTCAAAGAAGACGTGTTCAGATCTGTATGGGCCTATTAAAGCCATTCAAGGTATCTTAAAATTCACAGTAGTCTTAGGTTTCTCCTTTCTGACCAATATTCTCTGCTTGGGGAATTCGTTAAATTTTTGTCCATCTTAGGGAGGTCCTCATTTGTGCAGGTACTTCTTCTTGATGAGATTACAGTTGACCTTGACGTGCTTGCAAGGGCAGACCTGCTGAAGTTTCTTAAAAAGGAATGTGAAGAACGAGGTGCCACAATTATTTACGCCACCCATATATTTGATGGTCTTGAGGATTGGCCATCACATATTGTAAGTCTTCTCCCCTTATGCAGTCCCACATTTGTACCAACTAATCTGAACACCAGTTAGGTTCTTTTATCCTATCTGAAGTCAAAATCTTTTTTATTGCATTCAGGTTTATGTGAATAAAGGGAAGTTGCAATTAGCAATGCCAATGGATAAAGTGAAGGAGCTCAGCAATATGTCACTGATGGTTAGTTATCTAATAGAATCCCAATTCTACAGATCAGCTAATTGGCTATCCATTAATATTTTTATAGATTGTCTGTTTGGATTTGTGTTTATGTTTTCTGTTCTCAGTTTTCCTTTTCTATGTTTTCACTGTCAGAAAATATTGAAATCTCAGAAATTTGATTGTTTTCGTTTTCTGAGCACAAAAAGTTTCTAAGTATTCTGTTATTTTCTAGAAATGGACCTGTTTTATAAAACAACCTGCCAAACAAATTTAGATCTGTTTCCACAAATAGAAATTTGTTTTTGTAAACAAATCCAGGTGGGACCTTGAAATGTTTGATGTTCTTGACATTATAAATACATGGTAAACACTAATTGCGGAATTGGTTTCCTTGTAATTATTTAATATTATTCAAAAATTTCTTTTTCTTTGTATTTTTTATGGAAAAGGTACTTTATTCATGCAGCTCTATATAAAATTTTGGCTGTTTAATGGTTTTTCCTTTTGGGGCTTGGATTTGCAGAGAACAGTAGAGCAATGGCTGAGGAAAGAAAGAGACGAGGAGAGGAAGAGGAGGAGAGAGAGAAAGGCAAATGGTCTTCCAGAATTTGAGAAGCAAGTTGAGGGTAGCCGTGTGACTGGGGATCCAGCCCGTGCTGCTGCCCGTGCAGTGAACAATGGTTGGGCTGCTGGAAGACTTCATTCCACGGTTGCTGGGGAAGAAAATTTTGGTTTCAGCACAAACAGAGTCCTGAGGCAATAATTGAATTCAACCCTGAACGATCCTTCAAGATTGGATTGCTCTCATTGTAGCTTGGTTTTATACTCTCAGTGAATGATTCATTGATGTGGCCAATATGATTATGAATATACCAACAGTATGAATGTTGTTTGTATTTCTTCCTAGTAATTTTTGAATTTATAATTCTTTTACAGGTTGAAAGAATTAAATTGTTGTTTAACCTTTTAGAAGGTGATGTATAGTATGTTGGATCAAATATAATGCATTATAAAGAAAAAAACTAGTACTCGCATTACTGGATTACACTTGCTCCTATCTCCTTTGAACAGAGATGACAGGAATTTTGATTATCTTATTTATTTCATTTTGTATAATTTTTTTTTCCAAAACGTTGGGTGCCAAACATGCCATTACATCTTGGAGGCAATCGGGATAAGGAGGTCAAAGAAGACTTCTCCCCAGTACCTACACAGCCAAATCAAACTCAAGGCAACCAGTGTAGGAAGAAATCATACATGCAAGGAGTTAGTGATTTCCAAGACCAGCAGGATGAAAGCTTTCTCCTATTTGTTTAAGTCGAGTCAGCGTTTGGAAAAATAAAAAAAAAAAAAGAAAAGGAATGTTGATCAAAATAGCCAGAAGCAACCTTTAGTTGCTGATCAAGCTCAGCCTCCAGAGGATGAGGGTTTCTGGAGTGGAGACATGTTTCAGCTTTTTCTTTTCCCATCTGTATATCCAAATATATTGAGTTGTCCAAGTTTAGGAGCCCAATTTCAATGCTTCACTCCCATTTTCTGAACAGCAACAAAGATTAATTCATTAATAAATAGGGAAGGAAACGCAAGAAGCAAGTTTACATTAATAAATAAGATTAATTCATTATTAATATTTATCTCTAATTATTGTTAAAAAAATTGAAAAGGGAAATTTGAAAAAAAAAAAGAGAGATAAAAATCTAGAGAGAGAAAGTGAACAAAATTTAGAGAGCGGAAATTTTAAAGAGATAAGATAAAGTTGAATTTGGATTTCAAACAAATAATTGATTTTAAAACCAATTTATGAGATATGATGTCAAACAAATTATAGAAAAATTGTAATTTAAAATAAGTAGAAAATGTTACATAAACATATATATATATATATATATATTACCAAATACCCCTTTAATGTGCCAAATAGGATAAGAGTTAATAAGGTTAAAAGGTTCAAAATTTACATCACCAAACACACCTGGGCGCCAGAAATGGCAAAAGTGGCAGATCAAGCAAAAGCATGGCAATGAGATTTAAGGGGGTAAATCGTGTTTGGATGGCATGGATGATAAAAGAAAAAGCGTAGTTATAATTGGCCAGAAGAGAAACAACTTTCCAAATTTAGATTTTCTTTTACCACTAAAAATCCCCACGATCCAGTTAAAAGATAATTATTATTAATTTATTCTTATTTGTAATTTTATTTAATATTCTTTTATTTAATTTTTGTGCAATTAACAAAACAAATCTCAAAAGAAAAATATAATTTGTTTAATTGAAATATATAAAATTAATATGCCAACCATAATTTAAAAAAGAAAATTCACCTTCACATCCCATTCTTCTCGGATCAAAGAATGCGGGTTAAATTCCGACCGGGTCGGGCGGGTATTATTCTTGTGCTAAACCTGACCAGAGAGAGTGAAGGAGAGAGACGATGCCGCTGGGGAAATATTACTGCGATTACTGCGATAAACAGTTCCAGGACACGCCGGCGGCAAGAAAGCGCCACCTCCAAGGTGTCCAGCACCAGAGGGCCAGAGCTCTGTGGTACAGTTCCTTACGAGGTTAACTTATATCTCTCCACCAAGAAAGGATCCTTAATTATATCTAGAAATTTTGCGTTTATTTATAATTATTCCGTATGAACTTACGATCAAGTTCCCTGTATTGATATCGTACTTCCCTTTGATGTTTTAAGCAGATGGAAATTATCAGATTCACCCCGATTTGTCGGGGAAAGGAGTTTGCAATCGCTTCGTCAGAACGGTACTCATCTGTCTTGAGTTTATTTTTCAAAATTTTGGTAATTTTATAGCACCAATTTTCTGAAAACTTCGAGCTTGGTTTGTTCCCTTTCTATTTTAATTCTGAAAATTGACTTATTCTCTTTCTGTTATGTGAACCGTATTGTTGACGCTCATATTTATTATGAAGCAAAAATTGTTTAAAAATCCGTACCTAATTTAAGTAATCCCTTGATTTTCTTTCTCAAATGGACCGAAAATCACATTGAGTTTTGAAAGGAAAGAAAAAAGAGTGATTTATAAGGTTATCTTTATCAGAAATTTCATTTATTTTACATCCAAAAAATTGCAATAAGATAATTCATTGGTCATCATTTTCCAGAATTTTGGTTAAAAACATTTCTTTTTGCTTTTTGTTATTTGGCATTCACTTTAAGGGTGTAAGGAAACAAGGGAGAATAAGTCTTATACAGCCGTTCTTTGGTTCAGATTGAGTTCATTTGATCATTCTTGTTTTACGTTCTCTAGGAAAAACATGTATCATGTACATGTGTTTTTGCCTTTTGACTAAAGCTAGATCTTTAAGCAAAGGAGCCTTCAGCTTATTTGGTGTATCCGGACTTCTTGGATGATCAAATTATTTCATGTTCAACTGTCAAAATTTTCAGACTATCTACATAATTATTCAAAAGGAAATTTTGGTTTCACCATTGATGTGATATTGGGTTTCAAATTCACTTATTTATTTATTTTTCTCTTATTTGAAAGGGATCATGCCCATATGGGGACTCTTGTAAATACTTCCATCCCAAGCAAAGTCTACAAAGGATAAATCCTCAAGGCATACCAGGTAATTTGTCCATTGATTTCTGCCTTTAATCCCGCTTTGGTTCTCTTCCAATTGGTCTTGTTCTCATTTTTAATATATTGTCCAGAAACTACTCTGTTTGATCCTATAGTTCTCCCTGTGCACCGGAGAATCCATAAACATGTATATTTATTAAAATATCTTTTAGCATGTAACATTGGCAGTTGGAAAATATCTTGTCTTCCATTTGTTGGAATATACCGATACAATTTGTGTATTTGCATGTTATAGAAATGGCTCTTTTTAGTCTGAGTAGGATGACTCTTTTTCCTAAAATTTAGTATTTATTATCACTATGCGAATCACTTAACAGGTAACATTCAATCACCGAGTATTCCTGAGATGCAGCTTGCTGGAGGACCTTTACCAGGCAAGTAATTATAATTTTGTTTTATGAATTATTTGAACTATATTGCTAACACAATCTCTCATGCATGGGGAAAATCTCATGAAAGTAACTATTTGCTGAATGCTGCATAGCAAATTTTCTTATAATTTACAAAAAATCTTGTGCAAAACTTAATGGATAACTATTTTTTAGGTGTCTAACCTGAGACAATGAACTAGCCTATTATTTCTGGATGCTGGTTTAGAATATAACATTAATATTTCATTCAAATGTGCTTGCAGATAGTATTTCTTGGAATCATGCTTTTGTTCCCATTGCTTATTAGCTTCGTTGTGATGCCAGGTGCTATGGTCAAGGATGGAATGGGAATTTCACTAGGTAATCTACCTCCATCACTGAGGCCACCTCCAGAGGGAGGATATCCGCCCCTTCCCTTTATTGACTGGGGATAGTTTTCTATTTTGTTTTGATTACCATTGTTTTCTTTGTCATTCATGTGAACACTCTGTTTCTAAGACCACTTGCTTTTCAGTATGGTGTATTTAAGTATGAATATTATATTAGATATGGGTACTTACAGGCAGCAGGAGCTGTTGTATAATTCATTCCAATTGAGATATGTAGCTGATCCTGTAACTTCTGCTGCTGAGCAGTTGAAGTAACTACTCTTTTTTTTTTTCCCCCCATTTTTATGTTGTCAATAGATATGCTCAAACTTCTTTAGTGTACACTATGTGAATTCCGGAGACCTTGGAATAGTTGGGAAAATGCTTGGTTGAGTTGGGTATTATATTATTTAGATTTCAAATGCTTGTGGTTTATGTCTCATCAAGTGCCTTGGGGGAGACAATAGTAACCACATTAACAATCTGGAGTAGAGGTTGTTCTCCAATGGGATGCATTCTCAATTACAATCTGGAGTAGAGTTTGTTCTCCAATTGGATGTTCCCTGCATAGCTTTCAGTTCTTATTTACTTATAATAAATTTTCTTGTACCCTGAATTGCATTTCAATTAAAAAATTTCATAATGCGCGCGCACACACATATGAAGAAACTAGGGGAAGGCATGGCGTGCAATTGGAATATTTCTTTTGGGACTGTAATAACTCCATATTCTCTTCCACATTTGCAAATTAAGAATAGCCTAGCACAACAAAGTAGGCAATATCTAGAAGCTCCCTGGGATTTAGTGAAGTCACACACTGAAATCCCACCTAACCTTCCTCGGAAATTCCTAAGAGGGCAAGCAGGTGGATCTGGTAACTCCTTGCAATGGAAGATACCTGCCATTGAATTGTTTGAAGATGGCCTGCTTGAATTGTTTTTGACAATATATTTTGTTTCAGGAAATAGAAAATCCATTTCACGGGCTGTTTTTAATAAAATTGTTTGTCGCAAATATCCGCATAAGTTAGTGGTACATCATCCGGAGAGGTTCTAGACTTGAGGTAAGTGCTATACCCACATGGAAGTGAGTAATAGTATTTCTTGCCACCCCCACTTCCTCTGGACTTCAAAAGTTTCGTGTTTACGATTTATTCTTCTCCTCCAGAACATTCTCTCTTCTAATTCAACGCAGCCTCCTCCAGGCAGAAGCACAGTATTATAAAAAGAAAGTGCCAAACTCACCCAGTTTTTTAGCGGCCAAAAGTGATCAATGTGGTGTACTGGCAGGTGTATCAACAAAGAAAGTTAGAGAGAGATTCCTAGCCACAAAATTCAATTGGTCATTAAGTTCTTCGCTTGCACGAAGCATTTCAGAAATGCTCTCTCTTGACTTCGCAAGCCAAAGCATTAGTAATTATAAAGCAAACAATAATAATTATAATGAAGACAAAATTGAAGACTATTGGAAGTGGGTACTTCATCATTTTGTGCAAGCCCTTAGAAAAGGTTAAGTATTGAGTGCGTCAATGACTTCATGCGAATCTGTACTTTGTAAATCCTTTAAAATCAACTAGAATAATTCTATTAAATGTATTTGAAGAGGATATGTCTATACAGAGAAATAAGTGGAGATGCTTTCCGTCTATTTGATTAAACGAATTTATTTTTATGCTAATTAACATTGAAGTGATTTATCATTAAACCCAAGTGAACCCAATTGAACCAATCTAACGGATCATTTTTAATTTTTTTCAGTTATGACCCAATTGTGCATAACCCTTGATAGAAGTGCATAATCCCTTAAAAAAGTTCTGTCTCTGTGTGTGGGTAATTCAAACCCATAATGCACGTATTCTGATGAATCATCTTATTTTGCAACTATATATATATATATATATATTCCATTGAATTGATTGAATTGGGTGGTTAACACATCTTAAGAATCTTCTTGCGAAAAATAATCCGAGGCTGCCATTGCCAATGAAATATATACCAAAGGATTTTACAGAAATTTCAGAATTTTACTGAGCTCCTTGCAGTGATTTGAGCAATTATCTTGTTATTTCCTTCTGAAAAGCACAATTAACACCAAGAAATGGAAATGCAAGCAGAATGAAATTGAAGTTGAAACCATCATCCCCGTCAAAATAATGGCGCATTTTGGGACCAACAAAAGTTAATGTCGGATGGGGAATTTTTGAATTTGCCACCATCTTCTTCTGATACCTCCCACTCCCTACACTTGTTTTGTCCTGAATGCACCTATGCAGACTCCACATCCTCTCAGATTACTTTAAAAAAGGAAAAAAGGGAAGGAAGAGAGAAGAGGCCGACCTTTAAATGGAATTGGTCGGTTTTGCCGCGATTAAAAGTAGTATATCAACGTGGGCGCATGCTAATACTGAAAAGGAGCTCCACCCAGAATTCCTAGTATAAAACCAACTTCATTTAACTGACGTATAGCCACCTCAAGTCACTAGAGAAGTTATTTGAAAGCTGTTCTAACTTCTATCGCTTCTGGTGGTCACACATTCTAGTATAAAACGTGGGTACCTTATTTCTAGGACTCTAGATTGCCCCTAGCTGGTGAAAGTGACAAAACCTTGGATGAGCTTCGTTGTTTTTTTCCCAATTTTAGAGGCATGATCTTCACATTCTAGTAAGAAGATCTTCTTTGAACGGCAAGTTAGAGCCTTCTCTTTCCCTCCAATTGGTCTATAAAAACAAAACTCTACCTTAGCCTTGGCCAAAAATATCAATGGAATCCTTTGAGATTGTTATTTTTTCCTTCTGCATTTCATTCTCTCTCCTGATTCCCGTTCAGGGTTGGCCTTCTCGATTGTTATCTCAAATTTCATTTCCTCCATCGCCTGCCCCTGAGGCTTCCTCCTTACGTTACTCTACTCCAGTTTTTAGTGTACTCTCTTTTGGTGCCATGGGGGATGGTGTCACGGACGACACAGAAGCATTTAAAATGGCCTGGGATTCGGCCTGCCAAGCTGAATCAGCGACTCTTCTTGTTCCTTACGGCTATTCCTTCATGGTAAAGCCTGCAATATTCACAGGACCGTGCAGAAGTGGCCTGGTTTTCCAGGTAATATGCATATTATATGTGATGAATTCAATGGTTTTCTGAGCTTGTCAAGCTAGGATATTAAATGGGTTTTCTTTTTCTTTTCTTTATTTTTTGTTTTTCATTTTTTATTTAAGATTGATGGAACTCTAATGCCGCCGGATGGACCTGAATCGTGGCCTAGAAAGAGCAGCAAACGACAATGGCTAGTGTTCTACCGAGTTAATGAAATGAAAATGCAAGGAGGTGGTCTTATAGATGGGAGAGGGGAGAAGTGGTGGAATCTTCCTTGCAAACCACACAAAGTAAGCACTTTTACTTGACTTAACTCTGCTGACTAACGAGATGGGAAATTTTAATGTGACTAAAGATGGCAATGGAACAGGGAATCAATGGGACAACTCGGCCTGGTCCTTGTGATAGTCCAGTTGTAAGTTCAAAACATCCATTTTTGTTCCTCAAAATTCGAGTTAGTTGGAATTTATATTCTTTTTTTTATGATTTTCTTATTACCTTAAAAATATATGTCTTTATTTTTTAAACTAAAATTTTAAAAATTTTATTTTTTTAAATTATACTCCAAAAACGCATGTTTTAAAAATTAGGGAATATACTCTTAAACATAACTTTAGAATTGTAATCAGTTTTAGAAGTATTTACTTCACTTCTGTAATATGAAAAAAAAAAAAAAAAATTGCTCCCTCACTCTTGACTACACACACATATATTTTAACCCTTCATCTATTAATATGAAAAAAAAAATTTTCTCCCTTGCTCTTGACTACACACACACATATTTTAACCCTTCATCTATTAATTTCGTCATCTAAGTCCCTATTTTGGTTTTTCAATTTATTTTCTTATTCATATCAATTTTCAATGTTCTAATTTTTTTTACATAAACCCTTATTTTAAAATAAAATATAAAAAAATAAAGTTTTAAAAAATATACTTTAAAAACACATACTAAAATAATAGTATTTCAGTTGACTTTAAAATACTATGTTTTAATAGTATACTTTATTTTTAAAAACATTTACTTCTGAAATTGAAAGAGAATGCCCTAAAATCTTGAGAAGTCAATTACTTTTGCAAGGTTTTCAAGTCTGAATGAAATAGATTTTAAGAATTCTGAAAACTTCTGTTTTTGCCCTCCTGAAAACAATAATGCTTTACGTTTCCTACGCATGCAAATTCACGTTCCAATGAAGGACTTGAGTTCCTACATTTCTATTGAACTGGGATGACTGCAGGCCATGAGGTTCTTCATGAGCTCCAATTTGACAGTCGAAGGACTCAGAATCATGAACAGTCCAGAGTTCCATTTCCGGTTTGATGGGTGCCGGGACGTCCACATAGACACGCTCTACATTAAGTCACCCGCTCAGAGTCCCAACACAGATGGAATTCACATAGAGAATTCAAACAATGTCAATATATATAACTCAGTCATTTTGAATGGTAACTTCAGAAATCCCCGAGACTACATTCAGTTTCTTTTGCAACCATGAACTTCTCTTTGCTCATTCTCTCTTTCTTTGTTTTTTGAGGCAGGCGATGATTGTGTATCCATAGGATCGGGATCTCATAACGTGGATATAAGGAACATAACTTGTGGCCCCAGTCATGGAATAAGGTAGATTAGCTTTCCCATCGTGAATCAGCCCATATTCCGATGGAGCAAAGACGACAACAGTTCTGTCGTTTTCACTCATAACCTTAAGTAAATAAATGGATCTAGACCAAACTGATCACTGTTAATTGGCATTGGGTACTAAATACAAGCCTTCTTTTCTTCTTCTTTTCTCTTTCTTTGTTTTTCTTTATGCAGCATTGGCAGCCTAGGCATGCACAGCTCCAGAGCCTGTGTATCCAACATCACGGTGAGTGACTCGATGATCAAGCACTCCGACAATGGTGTCCGGATCAAAACATGGCAGGGTGGATCAGGATCAGTCTCACATGTACGCTTCGAAAATATTCAAATGGACACTGTGAGAAACCCCATCATGATAGACCAGTACTACTGCCCCTCAAAGGGCTGCCGCAACCAAACTGCTGCAGTCTATATTTCCGATATCTTCTACACAAATATAAAGGGAAGCTACGACATTAGGAGTCCTCCAATGCACTTGGCGTGCAGTGAAACAGTGCCGTGCACAAATCTCACATTCTCCGACATTGAGCTCCTTCCTGCTCAGGGACAGGTCCTATTGAGCCCATTTTGTTGGAATGCTTATGGGTTTGTGACAACACTAACTATTCCGCCGGTCTTTTGCCTGTCGGAGGGGTTCCCGCAGTCGGTGCCACAAATTGACGGTAATCTGTGTTGACAAGCTTTTGTTAACTGGGTAGATTTAGAGATGGGGAAGAAGGGAGATAGCACTTGTTTTAGATAAAGTATTTCAATGGATCAGTTCATATCATGAATTACTGAAGAAATTTCTTCACATAAGTGGAGCTTCAAATCTCTATATTCCTCACACTATAAAAAGAAGCCGGATTAATGTGTATGATGTGGAATAAATTGAAAATTTCCTCGTTAAAAAGCGCCTACTAAATTCACCATCCTGTTCGCTAACACCGGCAATAATGGTATCTAAATATGTTTCTACACATAAAAATAAGACAAGACATCAGAAACTAATATAAGGAGGCAAGTACTCCCAACAAGGAAGCTGCAAATTGCATTTGGGTTTCCTCGTCTATAGTGAAGAAGGGAGGCACGTGTACAAAGAGCGATTTGATTCCGTGTTGATCTGCGAAGTGAAGGAATGATAGTATACATAGTTGCAGACGAATCGGCCGGCATTATCGGACCTCATCACTTCATAACCCATCTTTGCCAGGGCCTGGGTAATCTCCTCAGTGGGAAGGGAAGTCTGCATATAGAATAAACAGTGAGGTTTTTTAATATTAAAAAATACATATATAAACAAGAAGTTCCTAAGTAAGAAGTTTCCATTCGCCGTGAAGGAGGGATTTTGTGTTAAAAACCTTCAAGAAGCCCTGATTTCTTTCTACAAGAAGCCCACATATTAAACATCTAATTGCAAAAGCTACTTCTTCCAAGTAACAGAACATCATAATCTTAGGTTTTTTATTTCCTTCGATGACAAAGAACTAAGATAACCTATACAAGAAAAAGGCCTGAAACCAGACAACCTTAATTATGTGAACAGTGACTATGATAAAAATTTTGGAAATAGTGAATGTATAAACATCAAGGTTAACATAGTCTTTGAGGAGGCACTATCCCCTTGATGTCTCATTATTAAAAGTACTGCATTCTACAATATCTTGGGTTATTCATGTTTTTGCGGAGTCTGTTGTTTCTTATTTTCTAAAATATTTTTATAAATCTTAAAAACTGCAACAACGAAGGTTGTTAAATCTTGAATTGTTTTTATATTTTTTGAATCGTGAATCGCGAATCGTATCGTATCGTAAGATTCATAAATATATTAATAAAATTTTTAAATATATAATTAAATACTTAAAAAATAAGAAAAATACTTTCAAAAATATCAAAATATTATAAATCATGTCATATTGATGAAAAAATTCTAATCTAAATACTAATTTCTAAATAATCAATACATATTCATTCTCATCTCTTCCAACACTAATATTATTAATTTGTACATCATCATTAACCATCTTCATTCTACTCGTCTCTATTTTCACTATCAATCGTATTCACGTGTAAAGCCTATAGTGACCTCACCAAACACACCAAACATCCAATCAATGTCATTCTTGGTCAAATATCACGTGCGATTTGAATCGTTGATACAAATCGCACCGATTCGTGCGATTCGTTCACGATTCATGCTCATATAGGATTCATTTAGAGATACGTATCGGTGGGATGCTGACTCGTATTGAATCGTGTGATTCGAATCGCGAATCGTAGGATTCTAACAACTATGGCAACAACTACTATGGCCTATCAGATTCTGCAAAAATCTTCAGCTAAACACAAGAAGAGAGAGGATTTGGTGAAGCTATCATCTCCAGGAAGAGACTAAAAATCTGAAGAGACAATTAACCAGAACACCAAACACCTCTCCGCAAATTCAATTCCCGCAAGTTCCAAGTATTTGAAGTTCAGGCATATCTAAATTTCATTAACTAGAGAATGAAATGAAATAGAGGAGGGACCGATAACAAAGTAAAATACTTTTGAGTGTCATATACTTTAAACTTTCACGTGCTCGAACCTAGGGTAACATAATCTATAAATGTGGATGGAGCAACTACTAAACTAACAAATAACCAAGAACTTCTAGAACAGTTTCCAAAAGCTAGATTATACGATAGCTTAAAGCCTCACACAACAGTCTCAACCATGTAGTAAGTGAAGAAATGAACTAAATAGAATAATCTGGATTTTTCAAATAAAAAATTGCCAAAATCACCCCACTTCGACAACAGCAAGTTTATGGAACCAACCTGAGCACTCCCCTGTTCAGTCTTCTACTTTTAAGGCCGAACACTAATCTTACATCATCATAGTTGATAATTATCTCTCTCTTGGCAGGAATTCCACCCAAAAAAAAAAAAAATCCGCAATTGCACATAATAAAGCAAGTATATTTTTAACAAGCAATGCACCTTCGCCCTACATCAGAAGTCTACAAGAACTTGAGGAAAATTGGAAACAACTACAAACAGAAAGAAAACATGAAATGCAAACTACCTCACGTGTTCGTGAAATTCCACCCTCTGCCGGAATTATGGGGACTTTCTGCAATAACCAGTTTAAGGTATTCAACTAAATTAGAAACCACGAAATCCAATAATGGAATGGATATGATCCTAATGAATTATAATAATATCAGACCTGAGGTTCCCATCCCATCTCATCTGGACAATAAAATGTAGCTTCATTGACAGCTTGACTCTCAATAGCAAACCTTGTGGCTCCAATATCAACTCCAAAATGTAGCTGCAGAAGTGATGTCAAGAAAAAAAAAAGAAAAAAAAAAAAAGAATAAGAAGTTAATAATTTAGTATACAGAGAGGGAAAGCAAATGAATGTACTTTCCTAAAGTATGGACAAGGGCAAGCATTTGGATTTGACATCACACCTACATGTAGGAATAATTTTATTAATTATGTATGAGATAAGTTTCAAAAAATAATTTACAATGAAAGAAATAAAGGGCATCCCCAGACCATAAGGCTCCCCGCTGTGCTAGTTGGGGCAGTGTACTCAGCCCTGCCATTGCTTTGCAGAAAACTTGTTTTGTAATTTAAACCCTGACACTGCAGTTACGAATGAGCAAACTTACTGGCTGAGACTAGAATAGAAAACATCACGTGACATGGATGGACGTGCATCCACCAAGATTCCAAGCATGTCCACGTGTCAATGTATGTTGGAAACTTGAGCCCGTTAAAAACGTCTATGCAACAGTTCATAGGTTACCCTCTATACAAACAAGCCAACAAGAATATGATTGACTAAGATTAATTCCCTTATTCTTGTTTTGGAAAAATAAAAATCATGAGGGTAAGCCAAAAGGACTAGTCATGATATTCAGCCTTTCTTCCTCCAGTCATTTGGTAGGGGTTGCTGTTGTCTCACATCAACTTTATGTCCATCAAAGTGGCTTCCAAGCACTCCTTCTATCTTTCAAGGCATTAGGACTTGTGAATGTACCATATTTTCAAACAAAACACGGATAAAAAATCTATGAACATCCTATTTCAAGGCCATAAGTATGCCCAAGAAGAGCTATAACAGAAGTCATTCAAATGGAAAGTGAGAAACTACCCAAATAATTCTCCTTGAATTATTCGCTGATCCAGAATTCTCTGGGCCCAAAGCAGATTGTAATGTCTGATACAAGGGAACAACAGCTCCTTGTCCTGCAGTCTCGAGGATAACACAATTGCCAAGGATCAGCCCTCTGGGCAAACCTTTTTTCTTCATATACTCTTTCAGATTACTAACAATTGTCTCAGTTGGATTCTCTGAAACTCCACAGAATTTCTTGAAACCTGTCACATGGATTGTCACTGGAGGAGGCCCTTTAGATCCCATTTGCCAAATAATTGGAATAGGTTCAACAATGTGCTAACTCTTCAAAATCCAAATTAAATATCTGATACCTGCAACAACATCAAGCAACAGGCTGGGCCATTGATGAATTAACATATAGAAAGATTATATGAAGTAGGGTTTATATGGGCTTGTAATCTATTTTCTATATTCTTTTTTAAGCTATCATTTTCTTGGTTTTGAAAAATAGAAACCACTGAATGTCTTGGGAATTCTATTGTTATAGAGTCAGTCGCTTCCTTTTGAGCATAAATAGTTTCTAAGAATTTAGAATACATGTTTGTTCTCCTCTAAAATGGGGCATGTTCTCTGAAAATTCTCCCGAAATTAGCTTTCAAATCAGGTTTCCTGTTTCAAAAACAACAACCGTTTGCAGAAACAAATCCAAACAGCTAGTATCCCTATTAACCTACCATTATCTAAATCACCCTAGGAAATCATAAACAGAGGAAGAAGTAATGACTTTTACATTGATTAATCAAAATCTACCGCAAGAAGACAGCTCATAACTTGACAATCTGATGCAAACGAAACAGTACATTAACATGCATCTCCAATATTCACATACCTTCAAAGAATTTTTTTTTTTTTAAATGATACATTTTATAGAGTTTTAAAGGAGGCAAATGCATCAAAATTAACGAGGAAACATGTCGAAGGAAATCAATTTCAGCTATGGAAAAAGGAACAACAGAAGGGAAGATGACACTAGAAGACTGAGAAGGGTGAAGAAACTACACAGCCCCCTAAAATCGTTCAACAATTCATAAGAACTTTATTCTGAAAACTGAATATGAGTGAAATATCAGTTGATTTCAAGAGCCAACAGTCCCAAATTATGACTAGAATAGGGCGAAATCCGTCGCAAATCAATTGAAATTAAACACTTGCTAAGATGAAAACAAATATCAGAAAGAAATTGTCCAGCCAAGGTATCATCAAACGGATGAAAATCTACTAAGAGGAAGTAATCTGAGCAGACTGCAGCAAAAAGACTGTCAGAAAAGAAAAGAGTCGGTCGATCTCACTCAAATCTTCCAAAAAAGCCAGCGAAGGAGGAAAGGTCCCAGCTCAACTACTAGTCTTATATGGGGCAATGTAAATGTAATGTAGTTATTCAAGAGAAGTGGCTGAGAAAGTCTTTTCGACTCTCGAGTTTTGATTGTTATCCAAGAAAGGACAGAGGAGTGACATTGATGGGCCGTTTTCTAGTAACGTTATAATAATTTCAACGTTTGCGAATAAACGATGAACTTGTTCGTTCCCGATAAAACTAAAAATAGCAAAAAAGAAAAATGAAAAAACAACGAACTCAAACCGTAACTGAAATCTGAAAGTATGCACCAAATTTCTCGAAAGTAAAAATAACGTTCAATTTTATTTTAAAATTATAAAAATAATTAGTGCTCGTTAATAGACTTTAACGTCCACATTTTTCAAATTGAAGCCTATTTCCCTTAAAAAAAAAAAAGAAAAGAAGGGTTAGACGAAGTTTTTACTGTTCAGTCCCGTCGCTTATTCTATCTTATCATCTCTTTACATACGTTTGGTAACTTTGTCAATTAAATTAATATAAAATTATCAAATTTAATGGATGTAATAAAATTTATTTCGAGTAATAAAATGTGATAAAATTTTTAAATTAATATTATCCATACTCTTCTTAAATAGGTAAAATTATTATATGAGTAAGATAAAATTATTCTATTTTCTCTTATCCTAGTTATGCAATCAAATAGTCTTAGTAAATAAAAATTATGATTTTTTTATTAATTTTAAAATAAAAATATTTTATAAAATTGTTACCACGTGCTGATGTAAGGTAGAGTAATAAATCGATAAAGCAAATATTAACCACAGCAACCGTTTCCATTTAAACACAGTCTAGACAATTGATTCATATCACTTTAAAAGATAAATTAAATTTCAAAATCAGTAAAATTTTAAAATATTCTAAATAGAAAAATCTAATCTTATTATTTTGACGGTAAAAGGGCCAAGTGTTTGTCTCTCATTTACATTTTTTCTTCTAATGTTAAGAAGGATTAAAGTCACCTGCCTTCAAAATAATGAAAAGCAAAAGGAAAAAGGGGGAAAAACGGGCGCACGTTGTGCTATACTCTGTTTTTTCCAGGATAATTTTTTTCCAATCACTTATTTTTCTTTTTGGTTACCGTAAGGGCGAAGCTCAGAAAGAATAAACTTACGTTAGACCGCTCCAGAAGAACATTAACTCCCGTGACATTATATCGCAAAAGATCTTCCCCTAAAAGGGGAAAATCCAAATCTTTAACATCAGTCTCGTAAAAGAGGTTGATGTTAGTAAGGAGATTGGTACAAGAATTTCTTTTTCTAAGCATGTAATTAATTTCCATTACCATTATTGATGGATTAGAAAGTTGATTCTCTCGATGATAGAAATGGAGTCAGGGCTATTGGAATGATTGCTTAATTAATCATATCGATCTTCACTTTTGAGTCTAACTTCAATTGAGTTTTTCTAAAGCCCAACTTTCACGCCAAGTTGAGATCTTCTCAAACTCTCCACCCTTCCGCCACCATGGCTGAAGCTTCGTCAAGTTTTTTGGTAAAGCATTAATCAAATCTCTCTCGTGATCTCTAAGCATTCCCGCAAATAGTTTCCATGCTGCTGGCTTTGGAAGTTGTCTATTCGTGTTCAGCTTCACACCCTGTTACTGGGGAGATTCCACTTCTCTTGGTCTCTGCTGCTGGGGATAGTAGGAGGGAGCTGTCTTGCCTTTATCACCTCGCAAGCCATATTCCATCCATTTTTTCTTTTTCTAGTTAAGGTGAAACCTTGGACACCAGCTTTTCCTTTGCAATACATGTCTCAAAGCACGTGTTCTTTGATCCAGTGGGCCTTGTGAAGACTCGAAACTTTTAAGCATACAAGTCACAAATTAATCACACGGGCCTTGGCCCATTAAGACAAAGGGTATAGATTTTATTGCCCTAATTATAACATAAGACTTGTGGAAACTGGGAATGTTAGGTTCGTTGAGAATAGTGAAATTAGTGAGAGTGGTGAATTAACATGAAATGTGGAAATTAAGGAAGTCATAATATAAGTTCCTTTAACGTGCTCTTCTACTTCCAAAGTGGTTGTTCCACATGTATTGAATTGTACAATAATCAAGGAGAGAAACAAAATAGTGATCTCATAATTCAATATAATCCATAATAAAAGAAACACAAGGAATGGTATTAAGAAGATCTCATAGGGAAAGAGATCTGCTATGTCGGATGATTATGTGATATATCTATAAGAGTTAGAAGTTGACTTACAAATTGAAAATGACCAATTTTGTTTTCACAAACCATTAACAGTGATATGTTGATAAATAGTTGGATGCCATGAAAGATAAACTAAAAGCTATGGAATCAAATGAAGTGTGGGACCTTGTAGAATTATCAAAAGGTTGCAAAAGAGTTGGGTGTAAGTGGGTTTTAAGACTAAACGTGACTCTCATGGAAAACCTTGAAGGTTGCAAAGGTTTTACTTAAAATGATAGCATTGACTATAAAGAGACTTTTTTGCTAGTCTCTAAGAAAGATTCTTTCACAATTATCATGGCGACAGTGGCTCATAATGATTTAGAGTTACATCAAATACATGTGAAAACTATCTTTCTAAGTGGAAACATCAAAAAGAGAGAAATTGATCAACAGTGCGGAGGTATTATTGAAGGTTATATAATGATAATAAATTATATTCACATGGCGATGATCTTAGTCCAAGAGAGAGAATAGCTCTCCAAATTTTTCAGCCGCCTGCTCCGGCAAGCTAATGCAAACCAACATCGACACCACAAGAAGTGGTTTGGTCGCCCTCTGGTAAGAATATGCAGATTTGAGGAGTGGGTGTTAAATCAATGGGACCGCGTAAACTAACTGGCCTTCCCCCAACAAAATCGGCGAATTCATAAATTGAAAATCTAGTCCATTGAGTTATTGATAGTTTGGCATCAAACTCTAGCCTACTTGGCCTATAAACCTCAAGATAATCCACTGTAGATCTTACATATTCCTCTGAAATTCAAAGCCTAGCATCGCGAACCAACCTTGTCGCGTCTAACAGACGCCCATCAACAAGCTCAGAAACGGTGGTCAAGGCACAAGCCACGCATAGAGCATTGCCATAAACCCCATCCCTTAAGGAAGCCTTATTGATCAGCTTTGGACGAGCGTTCACAGAGAATGTAAGTCGGAGCCAACAGTCTGGTGGCTTTACATCAAGTGCTCTAACCCAAGATCTCCAAACATGGCAATGCCATCATGCATCAAATGTAGTGCAGGTAGAGTACATTGCACAAGTTTCTTTAGACGCGATTGGAACTCTTTACTTACCCTATAGCACTTTTTGAACTAGTTTGTTTTGCCACAAAGTCATGGTTAAACTCGAGCCTTCTCCGATCCTTGTGAATTCGAAATGTGGTTATTGATTATTAGTGGAGGATTTCGTGGACGAAGAACATCTCGATCCCAGCATGGATTTGGGTTTGTAACCAACATGCCTGCTTTCGCTGTGGAAGACCAAGCATTGAGAAATTGCATTGCACCAAGGCCATCACAGGCAATGACAAGTTCTTAACCCGAGGCTAAAGCCACCACAGCTAAAATGGGTCACTTGTGCTATTAGCAATGTGCATGTCTATGACCTTGTAATGTCCTTCATTGGGAAACTTGTATATCAGTGGTGACCATGCCGGGTTCGGCACTGTAAGGTCTCCCAAGTCTGCTAAGGCCACATTTGATTGGGCTTCAACCATAAGTACTCCCTGTTCTGGTCCAATGAAGACCTCTAACTTTCAATTCCATTTTTTGTCTCTCTTAGCCTTCCTGAGAAAGGGTAATATGGGACTAAAACACTTGCAAGAGCATCTTGTAGCACTTTCATGACAGTTTTCTGATGAAAATTATGGCAATGAATATTTGGTCGGTAGAAGTAAATGGTTGGGGTGAAAACACGTGTGCCAATCATGTCATCAATGTTTGAGAGATAGAGGCTATCACCAAGGTCATTGGAGGTCATTGGAATCGACCAGCCGGCATGATTGAGAATATTCTATTGATAGTTATGGGGATATCCAGGGGAGGGAACTGAAGCTCTTGAACCAAGGAGGTCATAGCCATGGGAGGATGGTTGGAGAAGTCATGCCACTTAAAAGCATTTGTAGAAGATAGAAATTTGATTTCCTCAAAAACTATGAACATAGCAAAGAGATCGGACTATACAAAGAGAGTTGTAAAATTATTTCTGGTGTTAAGCAGTTATTTCTACTTCTAATCTTCAGACACGATCTTTTGATTAGTTTGAGGTGGTTTGATATATTATATATGTCTATATATAGATTATAAGGCTTTGTACTAGAATGTATGTTTGGTTTGTGCTTACTCTTTTAAGGTAGTTGAAGCATGGTGAATGCATGAAGTTGAAGACATAATAGAATGACACAAGTTCTTAATTCCAAACGATTTGCGTTCAACCATGCGTTTATTGTCGTCTTATTTGATTAGTAAAATTAAGTACTTGTTTATTTCTTCTCCCCTTAAATCATGACAAGATTGTTACTATGCATGCAATCCAAGAGGACACTAATTTTACTGAGATAAGAAATGCACTGACAAAGACAGTTTAGGCCTGTTCACAGGCCTTGAATCGGATTGAACTGGATTAGGACCAGACCACTAGTTCTGGTCCTAAAAATTATGAACTGGGACCAAAACCTTGAAAGCCAGTCTTGTTTTGATTCTGGTTCAGTTCAGTTCAGGTTCTGGTCTTCGTCACAATTCCGGTCTAGGCCGATTCACAATTCTGTTCTAGTCCTTTATTCTTTCACGGTTCGTCTACAGCTCAGTTCTAGTCTGGTTCATTCCCTATTTGTTCACAATTCGTTCTCAATTCGTCCACAGTTCGATTCGATTCCAGTTTGATTTTATCGAAAAAAATTTATATATTAACTTATAAATTTTTTGAGTTATTAAATATTTTCCAATAATAAAAATATCTTTCAAATGCTAAATACAAAAAAGTAAAAAAAGATTTGAACTTAATTGTATATTAATTAAGCTGCCTAAGTATTTTCTTGGAATTTAGAGAAATTAAAATTCACATAATTCTCTTACCTAATTGGTATACTCCTTACTTTTTATCTTAACCTCTTTGTTTGGAAAGAGAATGACAAAATGTTTGTATTTATTTTATAAAATTGTTTTTTATTTCAAAAAAAAACATGTTTAACATTATTTTTAAAACATGCTCTTTTTATTTAAAAATTTTACAAAAATTATATTATTATTTTCAATTAATAATAAAAATAATAAGATGAAATAAAAGTAATAAGTGCTTGTGCTCATGAAACACTAGATCGATCTCAATCCATTGAGACCATAAAATACTATTTGTGGCCAAATTTAAATGAGACCATGAAAAGATTAAAAGAAGGATTGTCATAAATCCATTATTCAAAGACATAAGATAACTTAAATTTGCTATGAATAGATTGATAAGTTGCTAGGTCCATGTGTTTTGATCGAGTAATGGTAATTGTCAAATACGTGGCAATGTTTTTTTTTATTTTTCTTCAATTTCTTAAATTAAGAAAATTTTATATAATTAAGCTTTTTTGTGGTTAAGTTTGGCCTTAATTTTAATTAAATTTTTACTTAAGGGCATTGCCTTCATTTTTATGATTTAAATATCTAGAAATGACCATCCACTTTTTTTTATTACATTGAAAGTCTAATTTAAGGGAGAGAGAAAAAAATTAAGAGTCAAATTTATAATTTCTAAATAAACCTCACAAGATATTATAAATAATTTTGATTTTTTTATAAAAAACAAACAAATAAACAATACAAACCTTTCAATTTTCTTTCCTTAACTAAATCAACAAAAGAAACATGTTTCCAAATTAATGAAATCATTAATTCTATTCGTGATTTTAAATTTTATAAACTTAGTTTGCTAGACATCCCCCCAAAAAAGAAATTTTTTGGATCTAATTTTCTTTTTTTTAATATTTTTAGAAAATATAGTCAATTAGTAAACATGTTCGAACTGAGAATGACAAAATGTTTGCATTTGTTTTATAAATTATTTTCTATTTTAAAAAATTAACCATGTTTGACATTATTTTTATTAAAAAAAATTTACAAAAATCATATTATTACTTTTAATCAATAATAAAAGTAACAAGATGAAAAAAATTAAAAAACATAATACTAGTTTTCACAGTTTGCTGTTCATACATAATTTCGATTCACGGTTCACGGTTTAAATATTATTCAATTAACACAGTCTAATCCGATTCCAGTTCATTGGTTTTGTACAGTTCCGATTATGGTTCAAAAAATCATGAATCTTAATTAGATCGGTTACCCCCATGATTCAGAATGGGACTGGACCAGATCTTCCTAATCCGATCCAATTTGGGTCGATTCACGGTCCAGACTAGAACCGTGAATAGGCCTAAGACAGTTGACATATCACTGTCAAAAAAATACCTCATCTAAGAATTCCCTTTGCTAATTAAGTTAGTATTAGCCACCGGGTATTGATTTCCTTTTACACGTGAAAAGCCATAATCCCCAAGAAAGGGACTTGAGCTAACGAGATCTCAAAATCTGGCTCCTAGTCTCTCCATTGGGATCCAGTAAGGTGGAATAAAAACACTAGCAACCCATTTGAAGGGTCATTTTTCAATTCAAGTGGACTGACCCAGCATGTTTCAAGTATAGTATTCTTGAGCTTTCTATGTATGTTTATCTAATAAAGATTTCTTTCTTACTTTGTGAAGCATTGATTTCTCTTGTATTCTTGTTACTAAAATGTTGTTCTTGTCAAATGGATTCTTTATGATCTAATCTCACCTACCATCGAGGGAAACCATTTGAGACATATTGGAGAAGAGCATACTTTGCTGAGGCATGATACTAATAAGATGAACCAATTTCAGCCTATGTGCTAGCATTTTGACATACTTATAAAAGACATTTGAAGATTGATAGGCCGATAATGTGGAACTTATTTTGCTCCTAAATTTCTAGAGTAAGACTACTGGAGTAATTAAATCCTCCAATCTCTCTAACCCCATTTCAGAACTTCTACTAATGCACCCCAAAATTTTCGAAAGAATAAGCAGGTTTTCCCATCAAGTCCTGAACTCGTAATTTTATGCATCTAGAACAAGGTAGGTTTTAATTCTTCCTTTGTAAATCCAACATTGAGTTGTTTCGAACTGGTGAAGGGAATGCTGATAATCTATGGATGTTAAAGAAGACATGAAGGGAAAGGATCAGCAGTATGTAGGATCAAGAAGGTAATCAACTTTTTTTATACTTCTTCAGCTTTTGTTGTATAAGCTAGAGTATATTGAACTATTCTTCAATTTTGCTTCCATTATGCCTTTGGCTATTGTAGCATAATGTTTAATAGAAAATACAGATGCTAGAATGATTTTTCAAATGGTCTATTACGCCAACTCTCTACCAACACTAAACTATAGACTATTGTGCTAGCTATTTAATTACTCTCTTGGGGGAACTCGCCTATAGGCTACTGTAATACTAGAAGTATAATTCGCAGATATTATGCAAACATTTTACCAACATATATTCTTTGAAGGAAACAACAATGATCAAAACAACGGACAAGGTAAATGGTATCAAGCACATAGTGTAAATAAATAATTTTTAAATTTTATAATATCTTTAAAATCTTGAAACGCATGAATTTTATAATAACCATAACAATAAAATATAAATTTGAGATATACATCTTGATCCATAATCAGATGCTTAAGATGCTTGAGAATAATGATAAAGAAACTAATTTTTATCTCGTAATCCTTTTAAAGACTTCTTTCAACATAAGTGATGTGGAAGAAGAAGAAAACATAAGGTGGAAATATGACCCGTTTTTATATAACAAAAGTATCCCATAAAATGCTAACTTCCATCAAGTGGGCAATCATCTATTAAGAAATTATTTAGTAGTTATTTTTAAAAGATAAATGTTTATCCATTATAGCCAATTGGATTTTAAATTTCATATATATTTGTTAAATCTTTTAATGTATCACATATACCTCACATAACCCATAAAAATTTTACATTTTTCCACTTGACTCTTTTTCTCAATAAGACTTATAAATATGAAATACATAATTGGTCCAAAAATAATGTATTCAACAAGGAAAAAACTTTTTATCATTATTCTAATTCAATTATGAATACAAAATAGAAAATCAGAAAATTAAAAGATATACATTAATGAGCTCAAAGTGTCAAATATACATTAATCATGAAATAATAACAATAATGTTCAATGATGTGTAGTACTCATAATGCCCATACTTTCAACAAGTCCATTAGATATCTTAGGCAATA